CCCCCCTTTTGCCTTTGTAGGAAGCATCTCTATTACAGATCCACTGCTAAAGTGCCCACAATGTAGACATAGCTTAGTGTGCTTTGGATCAGACCCCTGATGCAGTGCATGCAATGTCGAGCTTTACTGAACCCTGAGGGACAATCTTTTCAGCCTCAGTTGGATACTTCCAAAAAAATTAGGATCAGCTTAGTACAGCAATAAACCACACCATGGTATGCAGTAAATAGTAAGCTACTTGTGTACTAATTATAGGCATTTTGGCTTTGTGCCTAGAATCGCCAAAAACCTACTAATGCACATTCTCTATAATTACAATAGCTTCTTAAACTACATTTAAAATATTTTTTTAAAATTGAGTCAGAGTCATGGGAAGATTTCTATTTTCCATCACTAGCTAAAATAGGCCATAGCATAAAGAAAATGTTTAAAAAGTGGGGAAAGGAGTAGGAACACCATTTCTCTACCATTTTGACCAAATTCCCTACAAAAAAAACCCCACCACCATTAAGAGAATTTCACAGTGGCACAATTAAGGATTTAAGAATCAAGCAGCATCAAAATTAAGGTTGCACACATAAGCTTAACTCTGCCCCCTTGTGCATATGTACTACAATACAGCCTGTAATTGCAGGATTATATAGTATATTGCAAGTAGCACAATATAATATATTTTTCTATAACCTTACATATATAGATGTTGATTTAGACTTTTAATATACATTTTTCTTATCTCTAGGGTATTGATTCTAAAAATTTTGATAGTGGACCATGTTTTGTATATTTCCTCAAGTAAAGCAGTCCTTAGCTTGAATTCAGGAGATAAGGCAACTAATTATGCAGCTAACTTTGTTGTATATTTACATGAGCTATATATGCTAGCAAATTTTCACTATCACTTTATGTTGTGGATTCTACAAATGCTATCCATGCATACCTAGTTATAGAAAAAATCCAGAAAAGTATCTAGCAAAATGATAGTTAAGATTACAGGTGTTCCCATTCCACCCCTTGTTTTTCAGTTGCTTTCAGTAACTTTCCAAACTTTTGGGGCTGAAGTTTTCCAGTCCTGAAGCATGATTCTTCATTGACCTTGTGTGCACACGGGCAAGGCAACTGCATAATGGGTATAAATATTTTAGTTCTCATCCACTTAGCACTCATTTTGCCTAGCGGAATTGGGCCACGTTTCTTTGCTCAAAGGTGAATATACAGGGAAAGTTTGATGGACGATGGCCAGCCATTTTGGGAAATGAAAGATTAGAAAAAATATTTTCTGATTATATAATTTTTTGCCACATTTTGGACAGCTTTTTCACCAAAAAGATGGGATACCGACGATGTCCAGGTAAATGGCAGGCGACCAGCTTGGCTTAACAGTGAAATCCTTGCTGATCTTAAACACACAAAAAAAGCTTACAAGAAATGGAAGACTGGACAAATGACCAGGGAGAAATATAAAAATATTGCTCAGGCACGCAGGAGTGAAATCAGGAAGGCGAAATCACACTTGGAGTTGCAGCTAGCAAG